TATCTTAAGTAGTCGTCGAGAAGTTTCCGTAGCATCAGGGTTTCGTTTTCCGATCCTGATGGCTTTTCTTACGTGAACTCCAATTGTTTTCTCGGGAAGTATTTCCCGGATTATGGAGCTAACCGCCTTCAGATCATCTGCATGTCGGGCAGCTGGATCTGTGTTCTTAGATTCCTCCAAATTCCAGATGATAACACTGTAACTGGAGTCCGTGGGTTTCTGAGTTTGGCCGGTATTAACAGCCATCGAGACCCTGTTGGTGAACTCGGTTGCCGTTTCTTTCCTTCGTTTATTTTGCTTCTTACCTGACGGCACCAACCAAGTGGAGTCAGTTTCTTCCACTTTGTTTTCGCCGCGACTAGAGGCCATTCGTGCACTAGACACGCTGCGCTTTGGGGTGGCCATTTCACAGGCTGGTGTTGCCATGCTGGCACTACTTGCCCTTTTAGATTTCCTTTGCCGTTTGCGCTTTGTCGCAACAGACATTTGAGCACTCTGTGCCTCTTTTGCCTCCTGAGCTACAGGTGGCGATACACCTTCAGTTTTAAAATTATGTCCTGAACCGCCATTTTTGGCTATGATTTCTGGTACAGGCTTCTCGACTACGTCTTTAGTCAATTTCTTGGACATCAGGAGTCCCACTGCCTCCTGGATGAGGACATCCAACGGGTTGCTGCAAAATTTGCACAGCCAAGGAGATGACGGCATGCAACATCTCTTATAGGCTACTGGTGACAAACCAGTGCAAACCTTGTGGAACCATAGGCTGCAGTTGTCACACTGCATACCATCATCCACCGGAAAGTGGCAGTCCGGTCGTCCGCAATTGTTATTCGGACTAATTTGTTTCAACAACACAAATATATGTACTTGAAAACTGTGAGGTTTATACCAACCAAATACACAAATGTATATACGTGAGAAAAAAAGCGTAAATACCGAACAAAACACAGACTGTGAATTATATGAACAACACTTCAACTAAATAAATCAGTTAAAGTGAACTAAAAAGCTTCTGATGTGGTTTAAACAACAAAAGCAGAGTTTACTTCACAACGTAAAAAATGCCACTGTCCTTATTCAAAGCGCGCGCGTTATCATTTCTAAGTATTTCTGTAGATTTCCTTTAATGAAATACATGTCGGGGAGCTTTGACAGCATTAGCAAAAGTACACAACAAAGTAAATGAAATAATTAACAAAACGAACTATCCCACCTCATCATGTCCATGTATAATGCTTTAAACAATTTGTAGACTGGCCGTAAATTTCGGCCGGATAAGGACACCATCATTTGCTGTTTATGCTAAAAACGCCTTGTTCCATCAACTTTTAGCAGGAATATAAATGCAAAAGTGTGTAAAACAACGAAAAATTACCTAATTTTCAATTTTTAATAAATAAAGCCAGTAGACGTCAGCTGGTCGAATGACCTACGGCCGAATACAGGCTGCCGGTATGCGAACGCACAAGTCACCTTGAGCCAACTAATCAGAAAAATGGAGGATTTTTACACAAAAAATTACGTATATTTTCGAAAACAGCGTGAAAAACATCGATCAATTTATTTTTCTCCAATATGAGATAAGAGTATGTCCCAATTACCATGGGAAGTGTCAGTTTTTAAATTAAACCAATTTATATGCATGTATTCATCCAAGTAACCTAAAACAACCTGATTTTGAGAGCCATTTATTGCTCTTATTCTATTTTTCATTTTCCCCCAGAAACCCTCTATTGAATTAGTATTGTGGTGAGAGCTGTCTACTAACCAAATTGGTAGACAGTAATTTACGTCAATGTTTACTTTCTCAAGATTTGTCGTGAGAAAATATGAACAAAGACTGATTCAAAACCGACCACAGCAGACTTTGCGTAGGCGGATACAGTTAACATATAGATGATCTGGCATTCAAGAAACAGTCACAAAGAGATGAAAGATTAATTTTAAGTGAAAAACAACCAATCGGAAGGCTGTGTTTGCTTGCTTAACTAATCTATAATAATGTGCATGAAAATATGTAAATATGCCTTGATTTCCTTAATAAACGATCTGTTGCCTGGCCCTTGTCTTCTGTTGTTACAGTATGAGTAGGGGTTCAGGGATCGGCGAAATCATCCTAAATCCAGTAATCGGTTATATCCTGCCCATTCATCATGTATATATTAGTGCTTGGCAAAACGAGTCCCTGAATAATGGGTAGAAGAGTGTTGGCACTCCTGTCTGGAATAAGTTCAGTAAATGCCAAGAAAGTTCATCATGGTTGAAGAGGGATGCGCAACGTATTCTGCAAGCAGAGAGAAAAGCTTGGTCTACGTGGCGAGTATCCAAGTGTCTGCATACTGCAGACGTGCAGACATTGCATACCTGGAACTCAGGAACCGGTGTAACGTGAGAGTCAAGAGTGACAGGAGGTCATTTCAGGCTAACCTTGCCAAAAACTCCTGGCGAACCCCAAAACCCGGTACTGATTCATGTCGAAGAGAAAACCAACCAGGCTCGTACGTGACTCGTCCCAACACCCGATGGATTCAGAGAAACTGTCAAGAAAGTGGAAAAGAACCATCCTCTCTCCGGTTTCCAAGGGTAGGGACAGGCAAAATAACACTAGTTATAGGCCAGTAGCGCTACTCCCAGTGGTTTCAAAGGTACTGGAAGGCATAATTGATGATCACATCAGGGAGCACTACCTAAACGCGCTTCAATACCCTTACTTCCCTAAAGACTATAAATAAACTAGTAGCATAAATGCATAAAAAGACTATTTCACTCTACCGACTATATAAATAAACTATTTATCCCTAGAACGAATCAACTATTAGTCTACTACAGTACCTAAACGCGCTTCAATACCCTTACTTCCCTAAAGACTATAAATAAACTAGTAGCATAAATGCATAAAAAGACATAGTAGAAACAAATTTTTGTTCATCAAATTACAATGTACAACGAATATAATCAAGACGTTTAGACTCCACCTGGTTTTTCTTTGTCCTCTGGTACATATCTGTTGTATTTACTTTGTAGTACAAGTTGCATTGATCTACATTGCGACTGAAGCTGAGAAACAATTGAAGTCACTTATTCATATATCATCCCTCAAGGTTTGGCTAGTAATGGCTCAGCATCCTTGATGAAATCCACTGTCACCATAACAAGACGCTGTACAGCATCTTATACAAGCACTGTCAACGATCTAAAATGGTTTTTATATAGCTTTCTACGCGTTTATCAACTTACTCGTACGGAGCGACCATGCTGTGACAAATGGCGGGCTATGGGTGACTAGAGTGCAGTAAAACAAATCTGCTTGAAATTGACCAATATTAATCTGCATTCAGTTGAATTCACATCTGGTATTACTTGCAAAAAATGATGTCAAAATCATAAAAATTAATCACTCATTTTAAATTAATAACCAATTTGAACATAAAACAAGATACGATGCCGCACACAACAAAGTTATATGGAGGAATTGACTTCAAGCTTTATTTTTTTCCCAAATATTTGTAATTTATCCGACACATACTTGGGTTTTTTTGTAAATGCGAAGACAATATTTCTATATTTCTTTATGTGCTCCATTGAACGACTAACTGTCAGAATGTGCTCACTAACTGATGTCAGAGAGGACAGCAACCATGTAGTTTCACTATAAATCAAATTCATGTAATTTAAATAATACTTATCCATGCCTGTACAACTGGTGTGTCCTACATTGATAGGAAATATATTATTATTATTAAATTGGTTTGTTAGACATGTCACACGGTGAAACAGTATTATTTACTGGATGACGTCTCGAACAAAATTTATTGTTCATAATCATATCAATCATAATCACACGACTTCGAAACTTGACTCTTATAGTTTTCTTTGTTCTCTCTTTTGTTCTCTCTCCCAGATATCTGGAAAATTCTACTACCCCAATGATTACAAATAGGAGAAAACAAAGAAAACTATAAAACTCAAGTTTCAAAGTCGTGTGATTACAACTGATATGATTATGAACAATAAATTTTGTTCGAAACGTCATCCAGTAAATAATACTGTTTCACTGTGTGATATATCTAACAAACAAACTGATGTGGAATTACTTGCTACCACAGAGCCCAAGTTTTACACAAATATTAGACCAAATGATGAACTGCTGAAGAAATTCGGTCTTTTTACAATTGGCTTACGTGTGACTTCATTACTGTCTATAACATGACAAATTACCAGGATTACCCAGGCAGAGGTATTCTGCCACTAAGTAACTATGGCTTTCCTCTTGAGAATCCACTGCGCATAGCTCACCAGAGATCAAAGGCTCAAGTGCTCCCTCATTTCTCTTCACTTCCAGTTTGGTGCTCCTAAAACTGTCTATCGGTAGATGTGTCTACCGCCCCGTCTATGAACAGCCCTATGTGCAGGCTGGAAAATCGTTTACCGACACAAAAATAGCGCCAAAATAGCAAATCCTCGTAATAACCTGACATTATTGATGGGAATACGCCTGAACTCATCATTTTACTTCATATTCTCATTGTCTTACTCTTCTGACTAATCAGGCTATTGGTCACCCTATATCATTAGCATTGATATACACATCTATCTATTTAAAATTTCATTGAGTATTTGTCTTTAGGTTTTATTTCTTATTTCATTTTTAAAAATTCTACATAATCTGCACCAGTTATACCTACTACCAATATTTTTATTATCTCGCTTTTGGACCTCACCAGACTACTGATGGTCGAGAGGATCAACTCCATTCACAGTAGTGACATGGGCTTAATACATTGCATACGGCGAACCCCATATGATCAGTCCCAGCACCTCTCCTTTTGAAGTCAGCCAAAGCTACACAGTTGAGTGGCGGGACGAAATACGCAGAAGTTTACCAAAGACCAGGAATCCTTACGTCACAACCAAGAAATGAGCCAGAAGAAATCAGTTTGGTCCATACTTGCTCGTAAAAATGATATTGTATATTGGGTTCTGCCTCGGCTTTCCTGGGTACTTGAGGCGCTGTATTCAAAGTTGGCGTTACACGATGAATGTGGAAAAAGTTGCAATTCTTGATGCAGGTGCTCAATATGGAAAGGTATAGATTTATAAACAGTGGAAGCTTATTGTTTTTCTCGAATAGGTCATCGATCGCCGAGTCCGAGAACTCTCTGTTTTTTCTGATATATTACCGGTCAATACTCCACTTGAAAAGCTTTTAAAAGCTAATTACAAGTAATACTTTGGTCAAAAATGTCTAGTTTTACAGAGCTTTTATAATTTCGGGGAGTCCTGACTCGGTTTGTCAGCCGATGAGCTCTATGTGTGATCCCAAGTTATTTGACGCTAAAATCCCCATTCTTGGAATATGTTATGGGATGCAGGTTGGTTTCTGAGGAAATTCTGCTGACATTTCAGCTCATGAATAAATTTTTTGGTGGCCAGGTAATCGAAGGTGATACAAGGGAAGATGGTGTTTTCTCTGTGGACTGTGATACTACATCCCCATTATTTAAGTACTTACATTTCAATATTTTAATGTTTGCAGAGGCCTTTCAAAACAGGAGCATGTATTATTCACACATGGGGATCATTGTGTCACAGTTGCTACGGGCTTTAAAGTTATCGCCAAGTCTGGCTCTATCGTAGCTGGTTAGTTAAAAATGTTCTAGTTGATGTATTTTACAGGTATTGCAAACGATGAGAAACGTTTGTATGGAGTTCAGTTCCATCCAGAAGTGGATCTGAGTGCTTGCGGTGTGCAAATTTTGAAGAACTTCTTATTCGGTATTTGTGACCTCAAAGGAGATTTCAAAATGAATGATAGGGTGGAAATTTGCACTGCCAAAATCCGTGAAGCTGTTGGCCAGAACAAGATCTTAGTGAGTTATGCAAAATTCATAACACTCAGTACATGTATGCGTGTCTTCATTCATTTTTCCCTTTGGCTTCTTACTAATACGACGTGGTCCTACTAAATTCTTTCTTTAAGTATATGAATTTTCTACTCTGCTCTAACAGGGTATGCAGCTGTTGAATAAAGTATTTCTTCTTAATGACAACATTTTCGAGCTGTTTGGTTTCGTTTTCATCGCATAAGATGTAATTAATGGCACTAGAAGTCAACTAGCATGATTGTTAAGGGGACAACGTTAAGGTGGATAATATACAGAAAAGGGCATTGCAGAAAAAAAAAGAGTATTGCAAGGTATTCACACAATTATAGTGAAGTTTACGGTGAACTGTTGGTTGTTGGCTGTACTGCTTATTTTATTCAGCTTTATATAACACCATGCCCTTAATTCTATGTTGGTTGATCTTAACGAGATTTCTTCACTGGGAAGAGCGGGATTTTTAGGGATGATCATGTCAACTGCAGATCTTTGAAGCGGTCTTACAACTCAACACTACACAATACAAGTTACACCTCTACTTAGTATCTATTATGTTAGTGACGAGTAATCTACTATATCACAGCAAAACGAAATTTACGCACCCAAGGTTTTTTAAAATTAAAGTAGGTAACAAAAGACTCCTTTTCACAATAGCCTTGAATTGTGGTTCGATTTCTAACCCTTTTATTTGACTAGCTAACTCCATTTCATGAATTTCCCTGTAAATGTAATTTGCAGATTTTACTTAGCGGTGGTGTGGACTCAACAGTTTGTGCAGCTTTGCTTTCAAAAACTTTGGATCCTTCACAAATAATTGCTGTTCACATTGATAATGGTTTCCTGAGAAAAGGTGAATCAGCAGAGGTCATAGAATCAGTGGAATCATTAGGAATTAAAGGTAATCTTGCTCAGTTTCCTTACTTCTACATGTTTAGTTCATTTAATTAATGCGGGGCTTCGATTTTTATCTGGAACTACCATGGTTCATGTGGAGGTGATGACAGAAGCTTTAGCTCCAGCCTCAGTTAGTCCAACCAAGACGCAAACTGATTCTGGTAGTTTGGAAAATCATAATTTCTAATTCAAAAATTGTTTTAGTAGTGAGCACGGGAATGTCAGAAGAGGCTTCAGATCCAAGCGCTAAGGAGTACAGATCAGCGTTAGATTGTACAACACATGGTTCGCCAGTTGTTGATGCTTCTGGTGCTAAAAGGCAATCTCATCTCAGCGGTGGTGGTATGCATCCTCATAAGGAACTGCGAAACATTCCTATTGGACCCCTTAGAACAGCTACTATATTTCCAGAAGACAAGCGACAAATTATTGGAGATACTTTTATTCGTGTTGCCCAAGAGGTTTGGTCTGAACTTCAACTGGATCCTAGCAGTTTGATACTTTGCCAAGGTATGTGTTATATTAGTCTCCTTAATCATGCAATAAATTCTTTGCTGATGTATGTAAAATATCGCCATATATATGGCCTATACAACTAAAGGTCTGTTTCCTCAATAGAGTGCTTTTCATAGGAGAGTATTCAGTTTACACCGAATATCCAAAGTTAAGTGGGTTTCTTGCGGAGGTGACCCAACAATCAAATGGGGTCTCATTTAAACAGTTATAACTTTTTCGTATTATTTGGGAACTATTTGAACCAGCTAGCTATTTAAACCTCAGTAGGTAAGGTAACTTTTGATTTCAGGACATATGGTTAGATGGTTAAGACCTGGAGTCAGTAGGCATTTATTTGTAAAACTCCCACCTTAAACTAATGATTCATAAAAATTGTAAAATTATTTTGGGATGCAGCACCTCGGTTCTCACGTTCTCTGCAAGAGAAGCTCCTAATTATGGCCCATTTCTGTCGACTACACTTGTGAACAAAATACTCCTGGGTCGATCTTAAAGGCATCGAATTTTTGGGAATACTTATATACTTCATTGGTTTCGGTAACTACTTCGTATCCCTTTTACATAATCCCATTGTATTCAACTATACAAAACTTACTAAAGCGGGTATCCTGACACGGCCATAGCGGTGAATAGTTGAGAATTTCCCCAGAAGTTCATATATCAAGGTGTTTATCTCCAAGGCTGAAAGAACCTGACTTCCGTGTAAGGAATTATAAGGAGTGAAGTGAAGTATTCCGTTTTGGCTGTAGTACTCTGACTACTATCTTTTGCAGTAGAGAAAAGCAAGCAATAAGTCTGTAGACTACAAAGTGAAGGTTGTCAGGTTAAAAGCTTTGTTTGATTACACTTAGCATAGGTCTAGTTAATTTAATTTAATTATTGTGATTATACTTGAAAACTGTATGCATGTCTGCACACTATACCTTTAACTTTTGTATGGGATATGGTAATACTAGCTGAATGACGAGTACATAATCGTATCACTTCAAGTTGCCACACTTCACATTACATCTCGTCAATCTGTTTGCCTTCTTGATCCAACAATTTACCACTCCCCTTAAAATGAACTGTAAGAAGAACACATGTGGTCGAACATCCCGATTTTTTCACATTTACTTGAATAGGTTGTAAAATGAAGCCGAGCGAATTACTCCACATCACATAGTTCTTATGATGGACAGCCGCATATATCGCTTTTCCCATAAAGGAGAGTCAGTTGAAAAATGCCGAGAGAATCCCTTTTATCTCTGTTTATGTTTCTTTGGTAAGTGGTCTGTTAAGGCTGGTGTAAATTTCCAAATAACTGAATTGATAAGTATATTCGATATATATTAAGATTTTGTGCGAACGTGTCCTGCTGTGTAGCATCGTCTTGTGCTAACAAAATTCGAAGCAATTACGTTTGTGTTCATTGTAGGTCCTTTAAGTTTTTCTTTACCACATTTTGATGTTTTATGAATTGTGACAACCTGAACCGTTGCACCTTTGTGCACAATTCTACTTGGAAGACCCGGGAAGTCTTAACATAATGAGAGTTTTGCTCAGCATGTTCAAACGATTGTATATTATGTCATCGACCTCAGCTAAAAAGCGACTTCTAAGGCAACCATCTGTTTCCCGTGCATAGGGTAAATTGCTTATAAGTCTGAGTCAAACAGCCATCTCTGTCATTGCATCTGTGATAAAATGAGATAAGATTAGTGATTCTAGACACTGAGGACTGTCGTCGTTCCAGATGGTAACTGTCTGAACATTAATGCATGACTTTACAAATTCATTTGTTAGCATACTACGCTTCCTGAATATTCTTATAATATTACTTTATTGGTTGATTGAAGACACTTGATAAGTGTCAGATGTTGTTAGGTTTGTGCACGAGGAATTATAAGAGATTAAAGAAATGTTCATCATATCTTCGTCCGAGTGTTCAGTCTGTTTTGCCTGAGCTCTGTTTATTCACTGAATGACCGTGAAGCCTAAGATCTGAAACACTAGTAATCAATGTAATTCCTCTCATTGTAACTGACAAGTTTGTTCATTTTCTCATAAATCGATAATGCGCTACCTGACTATAAATAGTGTGATAATGGATTTACTCTAAGAGCTGTTAGCAGGAACATCAGAAAGCAAATTACTCCCCACCAAATCACACCACAACACAGGAATAATCACTGATTGCCATCGTGATGATATTAATTTTTTACCAGAACTATTTGTTTTTTCAAGTATTGGATTTGTAGGGATTTTGTTTGATTGCTTGGAGGACTATTTGTGTCTACTTATCAGATTTTTATATGATACTGCTGCACTTTCATTGTTCACTTAATTTAAACACCTATGGTACAAATGTATTTTATTAGGAACATTAAGGCCAGATCTGATCGAGTCTGCATCTCATTTGGTCAGTCAGCGAGCAGATGTCATTAAAACTCATCATAATACAACTACTCTGGTCCAATTGTTACAAAAGCAGGTAAGTAATTTTAACATTCCTAGTTCTGTGAGTCATTTGGAAATAAAGCTTCCTATTACATGAAATGAGAATAAATGATGCTTTTTAGCAGCAGTATTCTGAGACTTTGCCTTCCTTGACAAGCAATGTTAGCTGACATAGGACTAGGTTGGAAAAGAGCTAGCGGTGGAAAATCCAAAACATGGAATCAATCCATGAAGTCTTAGACAATTAATTTGAGCCAGCCACGAGGGAGGTGCAGACTACCTGGTTGGAGTCTTCAGGATTGTAAGAACCAATGGCTGGAGACATCTGTTGGTGATATGGCTCGAAGTTGTTCTCAATGGCACGGATAAATTCTTATATGCATTACACCGTATTGTTTTCTCCATGCTACCATTCTTTCATCGTCACATGTATGCTTACTGATGTTCATTTGAATATCTTCTCTCATTTATCTTTCTCTGTGAGCTGAATAGGGTGTCTCAACTAGAACTGGTGCACTTCTGTGCAAAGTTCTGTGTTTCAACCTGTCAGTCAGACTCTGTGTTTAACAGGTTGCCTTTCTTATTCATGATGCTTAATGACTTTCAAACGAAACCTCATGCTAAGCTTGATTTTATGTGTGTGTGTGGTGTTAATGGATTTTTCTATACCAGATTGACACACTTCCCCATACTCTTTTACTTGTGTAACTCATTAGTCAGTCACCTTGTAGTTTTTAATCTGTCAGTAACTTACTGTTAGGCATTTTACTTTTATGTGCAGTAGTTCTCAGTTATTTAGTGCATGCCGGTAAGCCAACGGCCAGTTAGTATTCTTTGTTATTTCATTCCATTATTAATATTATTATTATTGTTTCCTTGGGTTCCTAGTGGAACATAGCGCTTCAACTACACGTCTCCACTTGCTTCTGTCTTCTGCTGTACTTTTCACCTGCATCCATGTTAGTCCATACTGTTTCAACTCCTCTTCACACGATCTCCTCCATGTCACCCTTGGACGTCCCACTCGCCACTTCCCTTTCGGCTTCCACTCCAGCACTGGCCTGACGCGCGATGTCACCCAGTGGCCTCCTCAGCGAGTGTCCAATCCATCTCCACTTTCTCCTGCATATTTGTTGTGCGATTGGTTTTTGTTTTGTATGTTCCCATAGTTTCTTGTTGGTGATTCTTTCCGGCCATCTGATCTTCAGTATAGAGCGAAGACAGTTAGTTGTTGATAAATGTCTGCAACCTGTTGGAAATATTCTTGGTGACCCGCCGCTAAGTTTCTGATCCATCCGTATAGAAGAACTGACTGACTTGACGTTTGTATTGAAAATCCGAATTTTTCTGGACGTGCAACTAGCAAGACGTGAACAAGATGGGACACTCAAAAGATCCATTCACAGAAAACCGACATGGAATGGACAACTCATCAGCTTCTACAGTTGGGTGCCTCTATATACAAAACGAAATCTAATCCGCTCACTGACTCACAGAATCCACAACATTTGCAGTCCGGAAACCATTGAAGAGGAGCTGAAGACCCTGAAAAGAATCCTCCTTGAAAACGGTTACCCGGAACGTTTCATCACAAAAGCCATGAAGCCCAAAACACAAAAGCCGTCCATGCTTACTGCTCCCAAGAAACTTCTCTATTTGAATCTACAATTCAACGGAGATTCTTCAGCAGAAATACTGAGAAATCGCCTGTGCCGCTCACTGAAGAAAACCTTCTTCGCAGCTGAACTTAGACTAACTTTCTCTACGAAACCAATGATTCGCACGAACGTGAAGGACAAGCTTCCACTGGGGGCCTCATCAATGTGCATCTACCAATTCACCTGCTCATGTGGAGCTAGGTATGTCGGCCGTACCCAGCGTTTGCTATCCAAACGAATCAGCGAACACTTACCTTCATGGTTTTATAAAGGAGAAAGAAGATCCCCCCGCCACAGCTCTATCCTAGAACACTTAATCGAATCCGGACACCAAGCAAACCCACAAAGCAACTTCTCAGTTATCTACACAATACGTGGGAACCTTGCCAAAAGAGTACGAATTAAACTTCTTCAAACTGCGGAAGCAATGGCAATTCACATATTGAATCCTGAACTCTGCATACAAAAGAAGTTTATTCAGTCACTAAATCTACAATGGTCCTGATCTATCTCAACATCAAATACGTAATTTTGTCTTACCTCTTTCTTCTTTGTTTGTCTGTTTCTTAACTGCATTATTTTCTACCCCCACCCTCTATTAAATCTCTACCCTCATGACGACTGTTGCTAACTCCATTTTCGTTTGTTTTTTTTTTCAAGTGAATTCTACTCAGCTTATCAACTTAACTCTCACCCATTTTCAAGTGAATTCTACTCAGATTATTAACTTGACTCTCATTCATTTTTTTTCATTGAACCCTAGCAATTAGATTACGTCACCCAACCTACTTTTGTAACTTTATTTTAGTTTCTAACCGATTAACGCCTTCTAAATTACGTAATTTGTTGTCAAAAATTACCAATTGCATCTTTGGAAATATTCCTTTTGTTGCCAAGAAAAATTACTATAAATTTGCGGTTTGTACAGCTTGAGAATGATATCGCCGAAAAGAGTAACTCTTTGCTGAACGCCTTTTCTTTTCTATGAATGAATGGGAATTTTCAAATTAATCCGAATTTTGTTGTTGATGTTGAGAAGTGACGGAGATTTCCAAATTGGTTTCAGGTTGATGAATGTGTTTCTCGCCTTCCCGATTCTCGATTTGACATCTTCGTCCGTTCCTTCTTTAGTTGAGACAATGATCCCTAGATAAGTGAATGAAGTAACCTCTTTCAAATCCCTCCCGTTGATGGTGATTGGCGCTGGATGTTGCCGCTGTTGTAGTTGTTGGTTGGTTATTTTCATAACCTCTGTCTTGTCTATGTTCACCTGCAGTCCTGTCTTTGCTGCTTCCTCGACCAGTTTGTCGGTTTTTGCTTGTAAGTCTTCGATTTTGTGTGACATCAAACATAAATCATCCGCGAAATCCAGGTCTTCTAGGTTCTTCACGTCGGTCCAGGATATCCCTTTCTTCTCGTATCCCACTGTCTGACGCATAATCCAGTCCACCACAATTAGCAATATCATTGGTGATAATAAGCACCCTTGTCTGACTGCTGTATTTACTCCAAACGCCTCGCTGAGTTTTCCGTTGTGGATGACTTGACATGTGCCGTTGTCGTACAGCTGTTGAATAAGGTTGATGAATATTTGGGGTAGGCCGTAGTACTCGAGTAGTTTCCAAATTACTTCGCGGTCAACGCTGTCGAAGGCCTTCTCAAAGTCTATGAAGGAAGTTGAGGTAGAGGTTTGATTGCCATTCCATGCTTTGTTCGATGATGATGCGTATAGTTGCAATTTTGTCAGAACATGATTTGCCTTTCCTGAATCCAGCTTGTTCTGGTCGGAGTTCTGTATCCAGTGCATCCTTTATTCTCTCCAGGATGATGCTGCCCAGAATTTTACTTAGCGTCGATGGAAGCACGATTCCTCGCCAGTTCTTGTAGAGTCCTAAGTCGCCTTTCTTTGGTAGTTTCACGAGGTAACCTTTCCTCCAGTCAATAGGCACCTTTCTCTCCTTCCAGACCTTTTGCAATAATGGAGTCGGCATATCTGTTATCGTTTTTGGGTCCGCTTCCAGTGCTTCAGGGGGTATTCCACCTGGTCCAGCTGCTTTTCCAGCTTTCGGAAGCTTGATTGCATTCAAGACTTCAGCTTTCGTTGGAGGAGTGGTGTCAACTTGCAGTTGTGTACGCGCTGTTGTTGGTATTTCTGGACGGGTTGTAGGTGGTGGTCGGTTCAAGAGTCCTTTGAAGTGGTCCACCCATTGTTTAATCTGTCTTTCTTCTTTGGTAATTGGGTTCCCTTGGCTGTCTTTTATAGGTTTCACTTGTGTTGATCTCTTCCCGGATAGAGACTTGGTTATCTTATGTATTGTCCTCAGGACCCTTTTGCCTGCTGCCTTCTCAGCTTCAGTAGCCAGGTTGTCGTAGAATTGTCTTTTGTCCTTCCTGGCACTCTTCTTCACTTCTTTGTCCAGTGCTGTGTAAGTTGAGCTCAGCGTCTCTTTCTCTTATCCATCTTTGCATTGAATCACTTTCTCTTTCACCATTCTCCTCTCCTCTATTAGCTTCCGAGTATCCATTGAGAGCCATTCCTTGTCTTGTCTCTTCTTTCTTCCTAAAACCGTTGAACACGTTTCGTTGAAAATTACCTTCAGAGAGTTCCAATGGTCTTCCATGCATGATTCTTCCGGAGTGTCACGTAGTGTTTCCTGCTTTGCTCTGACAGTTGTAGTGAAAGTGTCCTTTGTGGTTGTGTCCTTCAGTTTTTGAGTGTTGTACTTGCATTGTGGCCTATCCCCAGCTATCCTCGAGGTTTTTAGCTTCACCTTGAAAGTCCCTTGTACTAGATAGTGGTCTGAACCCACATCTGCTCCTCTCCTCGATCTTGTGTCCAGTAGGCTCCGTCTCCACTTCCTTGAGATTGAAATGAAGTCTATCTGGTTTTTGGTGTGTCCATCTGGTGAAATCCATGTCGCTTTGTGTATATCCTTGTGTTTGAACACACTGCCACCAATGACCAAATCATTGAAGGCGCAGAAGTCTGAGAAGAGTTCACCATTTTCGTTCATTTCACCGAGGGCCTCACGACCCATGGTGAGTTCTCTTCCTGTATTGTCTCCTCCCAGTTTCGCATTCATATCACCCATCAGGATTTTGATATCGCCATTTAGGACATTGTCCATTACTGTTTGTAGTTGTCTGTAGAAATCCTCATTCTTCTCTTGTTCTGAGACGTTTGTAGGCGCATAGCATTGAATGGTTGTAACCTTCCTTCCTTTTGAGTTGAACCTGGCTGTCATTGTCCTGGAGGAGATTGGTTCCCACTGGATGAATGCTTTGGCTGCTGTTAGTGACATCATGATGGCTACTCCCTCGGTGTGCTCGTGGTTGTCCTCTGGGTGACCGAAATAGATTGCTGTCTCTTCAGTTGATAGTTGGCACCATCCACATCCGTTCCATCTGCTCTCGCAGATTCCCAACACTTCTGTTGCATATCTTCTCATTTCTGCGGCTACCTTAGCAGCCTTTCCAGTTTCGTACATTGTACGAACATTCCACGTCCCCATCCTTATTTTTGCTTTCATCGAAAGGAGGCACATCGGCTGACTGGCTTCCCGGAGGCTTTCACCAGCCTGCGTCATTTCACTTCCCCGATTCCAGCGAAAAGTAAGGTTATTGTTTGTACTTTTTGAATTTTTAATATGTTTGTGCGTTGAAGTTTTTCTGGCAATTTGGTTAGGTTTTTAGGAGTGGAGTTGCTAGCACCACGCCCCAACCCTTCCTCTTTATCCGGGCTTGGGACCGGCTAGAGAACTAGTGAGTTAGTAATGTACGCGAGGTTTCATTCCATTGTTAGGAATAGCCAACTTAAGCACCGCATATCAATAGCATATCTGTGCTTAGTACGTGTTTCTCAATCATTGAAATAAGTATATAACTTGTGCTCTGTCGTAGGGCATAATTCCATTGTGGATAAATTTTATTTTGATGAAGTTTCACAGTATTATACAGTATCTTTATAAATTTAATTCCATTGCAAAACAATTCAAATGAGCTGTCGTCAAGATTTGACAGAATAGTTCTAAAATATTTGGGCGCCGAGTGAGTAGACATTTGTAAAAAATTATATTTATAAAGTCTCAGCGAGATTGAAATGAGTAATTCCAACGTTTCGTTCGGCAATCTGGTCCGAACTTCTTCAGGGAAGTTAATCGAAATCAACACAACATAGGTTTATATATAAAAAGGAACATCACTTGTTTTTGAAAATTTGTCCAATCATGAGTCATTCAAAAAGTATCATCAAGAAACTGATGCATAGGAAATCCTTATTAATAAATGAAAATGGATATGTATCACTAATTATTAATACTTGGTCAAAACTCTCGACTGTCCATATCTTCTTATGGAAACGTTAAGAAATGTTTTACAACTTTACCCACACACACACATACACACTCTGTTTAAAGTGTTTCACAAAGGTAGACCAATATTTGTAAGTCCGAGGTCAAATTTTGATCACAGCTCATAAAATTTTGTTTGTTATACTTGTTGATACTTTTTGAATGACTCATGATTGGACAAATTTTCAAAAACAAGTGATGTTCCTTTTATATATAAACCTATGTTGTGTTGCTTTCGATTAACTTCCCTGAAGAAGTTCGGACCAGATTGCCGAACGAAACGTTGGAATTACTCATTTCAATCTCGCTGAGACTTTATAAATATATTTTTTACAAATGTTATACAGTAGTATTTACTGATGACGACATGTCGAGCACAACTGATTGTTGCTTATAATCATATCAAGTTACTCACACAACTTTCCAACTTCATGTATATTATTCCACTTTTTCTCATCTCTACATTTGATTGGTAGCAGTGTTTTCCATATTTCTGGTGTGAGTGATGAGTCATTCCTATTACACTTGTTGGGTGAAGACTCAATGAACAAGGATTCAGTAATCAACCTCTCTCTCCACCTACCTAGATTACTTTTTAGAATTTTAACTGTTTCCTACCCTATTGTGTGGTTGTGTGTTAATGCATGCAGTGTAATTTCTGAGCTGTTTTCTAAATACTCATCTTCGCGGGGTCAATCATTCTAACCCTAGCTAAATTCCTATGTTCTGACTATCTGACTACTCCCGATCTGCTAGTTTGACCTGGTTGGGGTCCTCGGGACGGTAAAAACCAATCGTTGGAAACAATTGGTGATATGGCTCAAAATCGTTCTCAATGGCGCAGATGCATCCACTTCTTGTGACTTATGATTTCCAATAGAACTGTTTTGTTCTTCGTTATTACTATTCCTTTGTCTCACACCTCTGTGTACTGTCTATATTATGCATTTCTCCTACTTTCTTTTCTTGCTTTGTGTGCTACATGGAGTGTGGCGACTTGAACTGCCGCACATATGTGCAAAGTTCTATGTCGAAAACAGACAGACAGACATGTAGTTGACCTAACTCACAATCATTACAAGGTATTTTGGTAAATTATATTATTTTGTCTAGTTGGGTCAATTGGGTCCTTTAGCCTACAGAGCTTGTCCTAACTGAGTGAGTTTGTAGGCTTAATAGCCACCCTAATTCCTGCTTTATTAAGAATCCTACGTAGAGTTGCAGATATCCCTTCCTTAAAACTGTAGATGCCTTATATTCTTTCCTTTTTTATGTTATTATTATTATTGGTTTCACCATTAGTTTTGACGTTTCCTAATCTTCCTAATGAATTTTATAGGATAGTTATTTAACACCAACTCTTCTTATTCTATCTGTTTCATTTTGTCGTTTCCGTGTTTTGTGGTACTACTTAGTGCTATAGTGGAATCATATATACAATCAATTGTGCTCGAGACGTGGTCATCAGTAAATATTATTGTATAACACCGTGAGACTTTATCAAAATAAATTTTATCCTCAATGGAAGTGTTTCTCAATCACATTTTCGGTCTATCTCTTGTTCTTATCTCTACAAGTCTTTAGCCCATTAGTTTATTTTCTAGACATATCCACATTATCTGGACAATTATTTTGAAGTGTGTGACACTTGCTTTACAGAGGTGGTTATCTGGAAGTAAACCAGTGTGCTGGGTGCTTACACATAGTGTTGGTAAGTATTTCGGAGGAGAATGACCGCTTGTGTAATCACACTGAACAGTCGCAGTTTTCTTCATCCTCGAAATATTACTACAGATGTGTTCCTGTGTATCAATCAAGGAAGGTAGCAGAACTTTAATTGATACACTGCCTCAACCACTAATAGGCTTTGAATTTATCTCCAGGCTACAGATGATTTTAGAGTTACACAGACATGTCAGAATCGTTCAAACTTCTCCCGTTTACTCAGTTATACACTTGGGTATTCTTAAAACTAGTTATTCCCTAGACAGGGTGACCACTGGTTGGCATAGTGTGCTATATGACATCTGTTGTCGTGAATTATGTGTCACGCTATTGAGGATACTAGATCACTAGACTCAAATATTTTTGTTTGTTTGTGTGTTTTTTTCATCTCACCATTTTGAATGTATCACGTGATGACACCATGTCTGCTTACGTGTATATATATATATATATATATATATATATATATATATATATATAGTTTTCATAATTACATAAAATGAAAGATTATTATCTTTGTTGTAGGGTCGAGTTGTTGAACCGTTATCAGATTTTCATAAAGATGAAGTTAGACAAATTGGTAGGCAATTAGGACTACCAGAAAATATTGTCAATAGACATCCATTTCCTGGTCCAGGCTTAGCAGTCAGAATTTTATGTGCTGCTGAACCGTACATTGAACGGGATTTTTCAGAAACAACAAGCCTGATAAAAATGATTGCAGGATATCATCAAATGTCACAAAAGGTTAGATTATTAAGTTGTATTTTTGTTTCCTATTTTTGATACTTCTTTTCTATAACTTGTTGTTATAATCCTCTGTTTTTGAAACAACAGTTTATCGAGTTTTAACGTCTACCATTGAGCTATCATATGATGGAGAAGATTTGTAGCTCAGGTGGATGATTTTGATGTGGTTGTGTTCTCTGAGCTGGATAGAAGCTTGGCATTCCAGTGAATTATCAATCAATAGACACATCGAAATTGACAAAATTTATCGACCGATAAGAAAGAAACCTCACACACAAAGGGTCAAAGTTCAAGTCAGAGAAACAATCAATTCCAATACAAGTAGTCTAGAAGGTGTGAAAGCACACAAAAACAGCCAGTCACGTCCAATGTCACCGGGAGGGATGACTAATAAACTCGTGGAGAAATCTAAAAGCTCAATTCAACAAATTGAAGTATCCGCTGAAGATGTCACCTAGTAGGGTGATGAAGGCTTCGCAAATTAACTATCCAGCTCAGAGAACACAACCACATCAAAATTGAGCTATCATGTTCAGCTCTTCGCTTTTTATGGATTGGAGTATCATAGGCTAAATTGAAATGACGTCTGCACTTGTTTCATAGCTTGCTTTCGGAATTGTAGTTCAAGAAAACTTGTTGATGTTGATGACACTTTTCATGGTAAGAAAAGTCAAAGGTAATGAACCGGAGTAGGTTGGAGACAGCAGAATTTCGATAACAGATGGACAGATATGGTGACTGAAATTTCTTAAATACACTCCCCCTCCCCCGTCACTAGGTGTACCCGAAGAAGTGGATGATTGTGTTGCTGTCAACATTGAAGTTTATCTGGTAACCGTGAGAGAGGCTGTATTATCAAGTATTATATCAAGTTTGTGTGCTAAGCCTGTCATTCAGTGAATCGGTTGCGTTCTTTAAAAACACCATTAACAGCAATATCACTGTGTAAGGTATGGAAGGAGATTGATTCTACAATCCCTTTGTCTTTACAGTAGAAAGAAAGTATCGTAGAAGACATCGATTCACCTTCTGAGGATATTCGGCGCTACTTTTTAATTCTCCTTTGGTGTTGTGAAACTAAGTGCGTTTAGTAACACTGCACTCCAGCATTCTTCTTCGATGTTTTTCAATATTGAGGAATAAGCCTTCTGACTAGAACAAATATTGCGACAACTGAACCCGACCTCCATAACAAGATAACAACTATGCCTGCGAGTTTTTGTATTTTCAAGAAATTCATTTCTCTTTCAGACTCATCACTCTTAATGCCTCAAACCTTAATTGTTTTTTTTTTCATTTTTTTGTCTTCGTTGTTAGCCTCATGCTCTTTTAAACAAAATCAATGCTGCTGCCAGACTGGAAGAACAGCAGCGTTTATCAAAAATTACTGCCAACCGATCGCTTGCAGCCTACGTTCTGCCTATTCGTACAGTCGGAGTACAGGTATGTTTTTTAATGTTAATTAGTATGTGAATATTGCTTCCTGTAGTTTATTAAGACTTTTTACATCATCCTTTTGTATTTCTAAAACATGTTCAGTAGATAAAACCAGTGGTCCTCTTTTCTCCAGTAAAATAAGACTGAACTAGTGAAAACTACAAAGACAGAGCCATTTTGACAGATATCTATATTGTCATGACTGTGTGCAACAGGCAATTGATGAACATCTAGCATTTTTACGTAGTTTAAAGATAGAGAGGAAGTGAAGTGGTCGGTGGAGCGTGTTGACCATCTCACGTGTTTGGAATTTTCATCAGCCTCAGGGGGTTGATAGCTAACGAAATCTGAGCATGGATAATGAAAGCTCGTTTAGCATATTCCAATTAACGGCATCTCTGGCATTTATGTGATATCCAGCTGGCTATCTATCTACTAAAGAAAGTGTTTACTGCTCAGCAGTTCGCTCTGTCCTCCTTTTTGGCAGTGAGTGAGATTTGGCCATTGAAATTCGGAGACATGAAAAGGTAGGCTAGCTGTCTTTGATCATGGGTGCCTGCGTTGTTTCTCCCATGTTAGGTGGTATAATAGAGTGAGCAATATTGAAGTTAGGCTTCCGTCGAGTACTAGGTAAGGATGAGAAATCAATCGACGAGGCTGTGAAGTTACACCGATCGAGATGTTGAGGACATGTATTCCGCATGCCTTGCCATCGCCTTCCTCGACAGGCAATGTTAGTCAGTTGACACAGGATGGATCAGGTTGGGAAAGAGCTCGTGGTGGTCAAACGAAAAAATGGCCTCATCAGTCAGTTGGTTTAAGCCAACCAGCCAGCTACGTCGGTAGGTGTAGACTTCCTGACTGGTTGGGATGGTACGAACAAGTGAAGACTGGAGACGACTTATGATATGGCTCAAATTCATTCTCAGTGGCTGGCGCAGATGCATTCACTCTTTGTGACTTATGATATCCAGTAAAATTCTATTGTTCTTCCACATTACTATTATTTTTCCCTCACTCACACTTCTGTTTATTATCTGTCTTTTGAACCTGTCTCTACTCTCTTCTCTTGCTTCGTGTGCTACATAGAGGGAGAGAGTGGTAACTCGAACTGCTGCATATCTGTGGAAAGTTCTATGTTGAAACCAGTCAGTCAGCATTATTATGTATTGATGAATTATCTGGTGACCATAGGGTTGATAAACAAATAGATAAAATTCTACAAGACAAAAGGAAATGAAGCGACAGGTGTGAAAGATGTCTCGATGCATATGCGTTACTGTAATTGCTTCTGTGGCACATTCAACCATCATCGATTCCAGTTATCACGTAGAACAGCTGGATAAAATACATTTTTCTGCACAGCTGAGACTAACTGACTTTGCCTTTATCTATTGGTGTGGACTGACAGTATATTAAAATCGAAGAAAATTACCACCAGTCGTTTGTATCGTTTTAGCCCGGCCGCGACTCATTTTTGCGACACCGGTTATTGATTCCTTAAACCGCATTATCTGTTGCTGTCGACCAAAAACGTTGACGCTTAGAGCGCAGTTATTTCTCTGTAATACCTTCAGTATCGATTTGAATAGATTCTATCTCAATTTTAGTGGTTTCTTCTTCATTATAACATCTGTGGTTTTTACTTTGTAACAACAGAAGACAAGGGCCAGGCAACAGATCGTTTATTAAGGAAAATCAACACATATTTATAGATTTTAATATACATTATTGTAGATTATTGTTAGTAGAAAATACAGTCTTTTGATTGGTTGTTTCTCACAGAAAGTTAACCTTGCATCTCTTTGTGGCTGTGTCAGATCATCCATATGCTAACTGTATCCGCCTACGCAAAGCCTTTGTTCTCATTTCCTCACCACCAATATTGGGGACATAAACGTTGACGTCAATTACTTTCTACCAACTTTGGCTAGCAGCCAGCTCTCACCACAACTTTACTCTTGTTAGTGGTGACATTTTTGACGTCTGTTTGTTCTGTATAAACCAAACGCTAGTGAAATGAAAAATATTGTATATGCTGTACACACTAGTACGTGACTAAGTTGTTAGATGGTTCGAGGTAGTCGACAGGCAACCTCCAGACTGGGTTTCGTGCTTGTGGCCATTTGTCAACACTGCCTGCCTGTCATCTTGAAGGAACTCATATCTCTTGTGAGATTCGAACCCGAGATATCCAACTCTACCATTGAGCTATTTGCTCTCACGATCGACCTCCTGGGGGACGGATACTTCGATTGGACACTTAGTGGTAACTATTGTCTTGCTTCTAATCATTGATCTATCAGTCAAGTTTGCGATGTGGCCACATTGCTTGCCATCATGGCGCACTCTGAATTGTTGACAGATGTTTGAAGGTAATTGACAGGAAGCCTTTTACCTCCGTTTCTTACTTGTCTGTACTAATCATCAAGACGTATCTGCAATCTTGGAGGAACTCATGGCCGTTCTAAGATCTAAACCCCGGGACACCCAGTGCTAAAGTCGGAGACGCTACCACTGAGTGTAAACATTATATATATATATATACGTTCACAGTGGAACATAGAGCTTCAAGCTAGAGGCTTGAAGTTTCCATAGCAGTGGTGATTATTATTTGAGGATGGGGTTGCTAGCCTCATGTCCAATCTTCCCTCTTTACCAGTCTTATTACTGGCTTAGTGAGGCAAAGGAGTGCGTCGGCCGGGGATCGAACCCCGGACCACCTGCGTGGTCGGTGAGCACTCTACCACTGTGCCACCGACGCATACATATATATATATACATATATATATCCAAATTGTCCTCTATTTTTTTTACTCAATACTGTGTTAAAAATGGTGCTATCGTAGAATTTAATAACATATCCTATATCGCCTTTTATTTCCTTTCAGGGTGATCATCGTTCTTATAGCTATGCTTGTGCATTATCTAGCTCAACTCCACCGGATTGGGATGATTTATCCTTCTTAGCTAATTTAATACCCAGAATATGTCTTAATATTAACAGGTGGGTGAAGTGTGTTGTTGCTTTTTTAATCAGCTTTGTTGTGTTTTTCTTCATACACATGGTTCTCATGATAAATTTCGATAAAGCAAGAAAGATCAAATTTTGGATATGTTATTTTAATTTCAAGCGTTAGATTTCATTACTAGCCCACATCAGTTAGAGAGATCAGTGGAAATCAAGGAGAAATGGACAGCTGTTTCGCCCTAGTTTGAGACTCTTCGACAGCGCACACCTACAACCCCAACAGGAATCAAACCAGACCAAGAGATCAGCAAATGAGGCCAAGCTAATTGACCATTCAGCCAATTGGATCGGAATTTGATGACTTATCCATTCTAACTTCTGTCAATTCGTGAAATAGCGCAATCCTCAACCATTTCACCTTGACTTGGTGTGGTGGTTGAGGGTATCGCAGAGTTAAAATTCACAAGTCAACGATTCCAAACCCAGTGGCTTAATAGTCAGAGGCTTTACGTCATAACTTGAAGGTTATTGGTTCAATTCCTGGTGGAATCGTAGGTGTGTGCATTGCTTACTGTAAAGTGTCTCATACTAGGATGATACAGCTGTCCAGTACTCCCTGGTTTTCAATGGTTATTTAACTGATATCAATCCGTGATCAACTCGTAAAAAGGCAAAACTAATCCTTACAAACCAACTATAGAATCTTGTACCCCAAGTGATGGTCTGGTAGATAACTCCGTGGCGCTTGAAATGATGAGTACTGGGTAGGGCGAGACCATCGATATCTGGAGAATGCAAGTGCATCCAGCTGATGACGGGCAAAAAATAAGAAATAATGCTGTCAAGATATAGGGAGTTAGCCATATCCAGCACTAGGCGGAATTGATGACGCACACAAATCAACAGAATCACTTCACTCAGTTCTATGTCAACCAAAAGACTCAACAGCGAAAGAAGATAAAACCAACATCATCTATAAAATAAATTGCAACAACTGCGAAAAACACTACATTGGCCAAAGTGGACGCCCCCTTCGTCTTCGTATCCACGAACATAAACTAGCCTTTAAAAGATATGACATCCACTCCCTCATATCACTACATACAGACAACCACGGGCATCAATTCGATTGGGACGATATCTAAATATTAGACAGAGGAAACAACAAAAATGCTAGAGAATTTTTAGAAGCCTGCTATTCCAGTGAATCGTCAATCAATAGACACATCGACATCGACGAAATTTATCAACTGATAAGAAAGAAACCTTACACACAAAGGGTCAAAGTTCAATGATATTATAATAAAACTTGTGCATTGTGGTAGAGTATAATTCCATTATGGGTAGATTTTGTTTTGATAAAGTCTCACAGTGTTATACAGTAATGTTTACTGATGACGTTTCGAGCACAATTTATTGCTCATAATCATATACCTTGATATGGGTCAAAGTTCAAGTCAAAGAGACAATCAATTCCAATACAAGTAGTCTAGAAGGTGTGAAAACACAAAAGCAACCAATCACGTCCAAGGTCACCGGGAGAGATGGTTAATAAACTCATGGAGAAATCTGAAAGCTCACTTCAAATTGAAGCATGCGTTGAAGATGTCACCTAGTAGGGTGGTGAAGGCTTCGCAAATTAACTATCCAGCTCAGAGAACACAACCACATCAAGTGCTGTGACGGTTCGTCCACAGCATAAAATCTTTCTACAACATTCTTTCATAATTTGGTAATATGTTATTTAAGGGAATTAAATTTGATTTTTGAGCTTCCTACCACTCGGTCAAACTCTACAACGATGAAAAGATTTCCATTAAGATTTTGGATACCGATTTATTTCAGTGCATTGGAGAATAACGGTTACAAAAGTCTTCACTTCGTTGAAAACCTCTAACGGAAACTGTTCCTTCGAAGATTTTAATATATTAAAATTTCCATTGAAATCTTCGAAGCAACAGTTCCCATTTAACGCGCTCATTGGATTGTGTGAAGTATAGAGCTAAGTTCAGTGGAGTGAGGACTTCTGTGAACTTTATTCTGCTTCTGGAGCTAGTTACATTGACCGTACACAATTGGGCATGTTCATCACCGGATTTCCGAACATCATCGTGCATGGCTAAAAAAGAGAAAAACGTCTATTCCTAGCGCTGTTTCACCTCAGTTCGTCGATCATTATTATTATTTCCTTGGGTTCCGAGTAAAACGTAGGTCTGGATTCAACAACACATCTCCACTTTGTTATATTCTCTGCCGTTCTCTTTAGCTGCGTCCACGATTTACTATAATCTCTCATCCCCTCCAACTCCCACGATCTCTTCCATGCCACCTTCGCACTGACGACCCACTCGTCGCTTCCCATTGTGATTCCACTCGGGTGATAGTGTGCAATGAGCGCTATCTCATTCGACAGCCTTCTCAACGTGTGTCCGATCCATTTTCGGTTTCTCCTACATATTTGTTGAGCAATAGGCTCGTCGATGCTGAGCATAAAACTGATGTTAATAAAACATGTAAAGTTATCTGTGTCGCAATTAAACTTAAATTAATTTTCCTTCTCGGATTTGTCTTCTCTTCTCTTCGGAATCCACCCGGAGAAGCCGAACTTGTGTGTTCAGAAGAAGTGTGTGCAGCCTCTCTCTTTGCCTTACTTATCAATACATAAGTGTAAAATACTGACAATTGCCCCCTCCCTGCTCCCTCGAAGTCATTTGCACAAGTTATCATTGTCGTAACTATTTTATTATTATTATTATTCCGACTAGTTCGTATTTTTAACTGTCTATTACACAATCATTCTGGATACTAATTTTATAATTTAGTTAAAAAGATAATTTGCCGTGGAAAATAGTGCACATGGACAGTCATTGTTTAAATCATTGACCTAATTTGTGTGTAGTCAAATGTTAATCGCGGAATTCAGATGATTAGTCATTGAAGTCATCTTTATGATAGTCGACGAATGCTTGTCTTTTACTAGTCTGTTTTCTCAAAATAGCACACCGTTTTCGGTTTCAACCGTTATTGTGAACATTTCAGGGATTAATATCAATCATCTAGTGGTTTCTCAATAGTCACTGTACAACTAGCTTGGATCAAAGTAATAAGATGAAATTTAAGTTAGCTAATCAGTTATATAAAGCAAAAGAATAGACACTTGTGTTGTTAGTAGTAGGTCAAGTAGACCATGGTAGGCAAAGCTTGAAGTCACATGTTTTCTGTATACGTAGTAGTTTTTTTTAATGCATGTGATTAATCCCCCAAAGCGCTTCCATCACCATTAATAATCTCAATTATTCCATCACATGACTCTAATAAAACTGATTATTAGTATGTTCTTTTGTTGTTTTATGCAACAACTGAGTCATTATCCTAGATTTTGTTTTATTATTCTGAAGCATGCATACTAATTGTAGAGCGGATCGCAGACAAATGACAAAATGATATCATCTCGTGATATTTGTCTTCTTAAGGCCTTATTCAAATTAACAATGGTGTTAGAATCATGAATTTAAACTAACTAACTAAACAGTGAGATTTCATCGTTTTCATGCAGCCAGATGAGAGCTTACGGCGAGTTGTCATCTGAAGTGGTTACAACTAGTGGTGTCCGTCAGGGGTGCCCACTATCCCCATTCCTATTCAATTTCATCATAGATGTACTAGAGGACTTAACTCTAACTGCTGATTTCAGCAACTTAGGGATTGACTTGTTACCATCAGGAAATAATCTCGTTGATTTAGATGATATAGTCCCCCTTCTAGGTGAAAACTCTGACAAAATGCAGAGTCTTCTGAACACCTTGAGCTGCAATCTACGAATATTTGGCATGCGATTTGCTTCCGCCAAATGTAAGATGATGCTACAGGACTGGACTACACTGACTCCTACTTTAGAAATATGGGGTGAAATGGTACAGCACGTTAACCACTTCACTTATTTGGGAAGTACCATCAGCCCCAACGGGTTGATCTCTGACGAAATCTCAGCACGAATACAGAGGGCTAGGTTCGCATACGCCAATTTACGCCGTCTCTGGCGTAGACGTGATATCCGACTATCGACCAAAGGGCGTGTGTACTGCTCAACAGTTCGCTCCGTCCTCCTTTATGGCTGTGAGCGAGACCTGGCCATTGAGAGCAGAAGACATGAAAAGACTAGCTGTGTTCGATCATAGGTGTCTGCGTTCTATCTCCCGTGTGAAGTGGTATAATAAAGTGAGCAATATTGAGGTTATGCTTCGGTCGAGTGATAGGTAAGGAGGGGAAATCAATCGACGAGGCTGTGAAGTTACATCGACTAAGATGGTTAGGACATGTATTACGTATGCCTAATCTTGGCCTTCCTCGACGGGCAATGTTAGCTGATATAGAGTCAAGCTGGAAAAGAGCCAGCTGTGGTCAAACGAAAACATGGCACCAATCAATGAAATCCACAACAGTTAGTCTAAGCCATCTAGGAAGGTGTAGACTTCCTGGTTGGGGTCCTCGGGACGGTAAAACCAATGGTTGGAAACAATCGGTGACATGGCTCAAAATCGTTCTCAATGGATGGCGCAGATGCATCCACTCTCTGTGACTTATGACTTCCAATGAAACTGTTTTGTTCTTCGTTATTACTATTCCTTTGTCTCACACCTCTGTTTACTGTCTATATTATGCATTTCTCCTACTTTCTTCTCTTGCTTTGTGTGCTACATGGAGTGTGGCGACTTGAACTGCTGCATATCGGTGCAAAGTTCTATGTCGAAAACAGACAAAACAGACAGTTTTCGGTTTGTATATTCTGGATTTTTACAGATATTTTGTTAGCTGATTGGATGGTAGTCTTAATATGCGCACAGGTGTTAGGTGTTCGAAATTGGCATGAGTCCACGAAATCTTTGACAGTTATTTCGTGTGTCAGCCAAGTAGGAAGGTGTAAACTATCTGGCTGATTGGGATCGTTGGGATTCTAAGAACCGACGGCTGGAAACTATTGGTTGGAAATCATCCTCAATGTCGCAAATGGAAGTCATTCTTTGTGATTTCTCATATTCATTAAACTGTTATGTTTATTCCTTGCTACTATTCTTTCTCCCATTTATGCTTATGATCAATCTTTCAAATCTCCCTTGTCTTTGGTGTGCTGGAGTGTGGTAGCTCAAACCACTGTACTTCTGTACAAAGTCCTATGTTCAATGAACTAGTCAGACGGTAGTAAATGTGATTGAGTGTGACGTAGTTATGCGAATTTCGAAGTATGCGTGATTAGTCGAACACTTGGATATAATTATTGATTCCAACAACTTTATGATTTCCTTAGTAAAGCTCTGTTGGTAATGCCAGTTTGATGCAACAGTCAGTTAACACTTAAGACTGAGAACACAACAACACCAAATCCATCCAGCTGAGTGACATACATATCTGCTGCATTTTTTTTTTCGAATATATGTAGAATGCAGATATCAAAGGAGCCAGTGCCTTCCTCAACGAATAAAGTTAGCTGATATTGGGTGCGTTGAGTTACAGAAGAGGTCTTTGACAGTTGGTTTGAGCCAGCTGCGTAGGGAGGTGTAGACTGTCTGGCTGGGGGTCTTTTGGATCCTTATAACGAGTGGCTATAGACTACTGGTGATATGACTCAAAATCGTTCTCAGTGAGGTAGATGCATTCACTCTTCATAATTTTCCATTGTTTTTCCATGTTACTTATTCTTTCTACCGCATATTTATACTAATTATTATTCTCCGGGATGTCTTTTCTCTTGCTTTTCTCTGCCTCTATGGGCTACATGGTGTGTAGGAATTTCGACTGATACACTTCTGTGCGAAGTTCTGTATTGAAACTCATTCATTCATTCAGTCAATGTTATTATTTGTTACAGGATTTTCATCATGAGCTGACATTAATTAGAGAACCATTGGAAAACTAGGAGTACTCGACAGCTGTTTCGTCCTAGTTTGAGACTTTTCAGCGGTACGCACCCACCGCCAAGGTTCCGACCTACGACCTTCTGATTACAAAGAGAGCTCGTAGATCATTAAGCCACTGGGACCCGATCCAATGGCCAGCCCATGAATTCTAACTTCTGCCAATTCACGACATAGCGCGACCCCTAGCCAATGTCTTCGGCGAGTATTTGTCCTCACACCCGACCTGCTGCACCCTACTGGTCACGACTTCTAGAACCCCAGGTAACTACCTGCGTGAATAGGGCAAGTCGCTAGTGAGCATCTCATTGATATTCAAGTGTTGGTTTGTAGGGATTTGATTGGTTACAGGATTTTCATCATGAGCTGAGATTAGTTAGTGAACCATTGGAGAACCTGGGAGTACTGGACAGCTCTCTAACTAATGTCAGCTCATGATGAAAATCCTGTAACCAATCAAATCCCTACAAACCAACACTTGGATGTTATTATTTTTGTTCGTAATAATAATAATAATAATGTTTTAACTTTATTTGAATATTTCCTTCAGAGTTGTTTATATATTGGGACCACAAGTTCTTCATGCAGTCAATGATGTTACAATCACGTATCTTCGTGAACCAGTTATTGATACTCTTCGAGAAGTTGATCATAAAGTGATGTCAGTACTTCAAAATACTGGTTGTATGAATAAAATTGATCAAATGCCTATTGTTCTTATACCGATTCACTTTGATCGTGATCCAAGTCAAGTTGTATCTGTTCCTTCTATTTTACGATCAGTTGTCTTGAGACCAGTGAAGACAACTGATTTTATGACATGTGTAGCTGCTGTTCCTGGAGTTCATTTTCCAGAAGAAGTATGTGATTTTTTATTTTTATATGTGTGACTCTTATTTGTCTTAGGTTTATAATTTTTTTTTGTTAGAGTGCTACATATCAGTCTACAAGTACTTTGAGTCTTTTTCTCATAACTTTGCATTGTTTCAGCTTTTGTAGTTTGTATCCTCTGTCTGACTCTCTACACCTATTTTACTCCTTTGTATTCGAAGTGGAACATAACGCCTTAGGTTTTGAGTCTTGTGAAGTTGCTGTACCAGTGATGTGGTTCTTGTTTACGGGATGGCGTCGCTAGCCTTACGCTCAACCTTCCCTCTTTCTCTGTGTTACTGCAACAGTAGAAGACGAGAGACTTGGCAAGGAATGTTTATTTTGAATTTCGTATCGCTATGCAGCGAAATTACTTACGTCTTATCTTCAAACCACCATCTGCAGAGATCTTCCGTGCTACCTCTTCTGCTACCTCAGGCCTTCATCTTGTGTTTTTTTGTGTTTCTTTGACATCTCCCATGTATCTTCGCAACGGTGTATCATTTGCTTTCTCTGACATCAAATCTATCTCCCTGCTATTTGATGTTTTTATGCTGGCCGATGAATATCTTTCTCTCTATATATACTACTGATAAATCTTATCAGTAGCACACGCCACATTATTACTGGGTATAGGAGAGGTTAAGGAGTCAGTCGGTTGTCATTTGAACCCACGACCCTGTGCGTAGTCGGCGAGCATTCTACCACTGAACCACTGACTGTCCACATATACTAAATTAAATTTATGGAATTTCAGTGTATCCATTTGAAGTGGAGCATTCAGTAAGACTACACCTCCTGTTGTATCACTGATAATATTCCTAATTGTAGTGGACTGGATTTCGCGGATGATTTATGTCTAGTGTCACACAAACTCGATGACTTACAGGCAAAAACCAACAAATTAGCCAAAGAAGCAAACAGCGAAGATGGACTTCAGGTGAACATACAGAAGATAGAGGTGATGAATGTAACTAATGTAACTAATCATTATCAACTGAATTAATTCAACAGAGGTAACTCCTTTCACTAATCTGAGGAGTAACGTTTCAGCTACACGCGGTTAGCACTTATGAGGATGTCAAAACCAGAGTCGGACAGGCGAAGCAGACATTCATCACTCTGAAATGAGTTTGAAAATCTTCTGCACTCAGGAGAAATAACAAGATCCTTCTATATGGGCCAGAAATGTGGCGCGTCAACTAAAGCATTTCCAACAGGTCACTGAACACTTATATCAACAACTGCCTTCTCTGGCTGCATATTGAAGAAAGTATTATCAGCAAGAAACTCTGGGAACGAATCATTTAAGAACTGACTGCTCATCAAATATGTTGAAGAAAATGAAGATGGATCGGATACACGATGAGGAGACCGTCAAATGACATCGCGCGCTCCAGCCCTTCCCTCGAGGGAAGCCTGAATACGTGACGACGAGTTAGACATGTGTGAGAGGGTGATGTGAAGGAGTTCATGTGAAGAGGAGATGAGAACCTCTGGGCAATCATGAGGTCAGGTGGAAACGACTTCAGAGAATAAGACAATGTGGTGATGTGCTGCTGTTCCGCTCGGAACCTAAAGGAACAATAATAATAATAATAAATTTGTGATCAAAACGTGTTAATCAGGGATTTTCCGTTTGATTATTTTTTGGACTGAAGACCGAAGGGTACCACATATAGTAAAGTACGTATGTATGTATATATATTGTCAAAGGTGAGGCAAACGAAACTATAGATTATTATTTTGATGTTAGCAGCAGCAAGCTTCCAACAGTGCATAGTAAAACTAAGTCGTTTACTGTGAACAGCCAACTTTACACTGATTGATCACTAGCGAGTAACCACTGTTGTGCGTTGCTACAGACTGAATTCTGTCAGTCAAGTTTGCAATGTGGTCACTGAAGTAGGGGGCTGAACATCGCAGTGCTCTTTGAATTAATGTTAGATACTTCCATTGTGGGTGAAATTTACTTTGATAAAGTCTCACATTGTTATACAGTAATATTTACTGATGATCACATTTCGAGCACAAGTTATTGCTCATGATCAGATCAAGTTACTAACACAACCTTCTAACTTCGTTTATATAATTCCATTATTTTCCTTCGCTTGACTTGATTGGTAGTAATATTTTCCATATTTCTGGTGTGAGTGATGAGTCATTCCCTATTGTACGTGTTGGGTGTAGACTCAATGAACCAGGATTCAGTAATCAACCTCTCTCATCTCCACCTACCTATATTACTTCTTAGAATTTTCATCCCCTCCCACCAACCTATTGTGTGGTTGTGTGTTAATGTATGGGATGCTATTGTTGAGCTTTTTTCTAAATAACTTATCTTCGTGGGATCAATCATTCTAACTTTCGCTAAATTCTTATGTTCCGACAATCTGACTACACCCGACCTACTAGTTTGACCTATGTAGTTGACCTCACAGTCATTGCAGGGTATTTTTTGTGAGTTCTATTATTTTGTCTAATTGGGTCAACTGGGTCTTTTAACCTAAAGAGCTTGTCCTTGAGTGAGTTTGTAGGTTTAAATGCCACCCTAATTACTGCTCTATTGAGAATCCTACGCAGGATCCCAGATGTTTCTTCCTTATATTTTAAAAACGTAGATGCCTTATATTCTCTCTTATTTATGTTATCATTACTAGTTTCACAATTATTTTGCTTTTTACCTTTTCTGATCTTCCTAATGAATTTTAAAGGATAGTTTTTTGATACCAACGCTTCTTCTATATGTTTCATTTCATCGTTTCGATGTTTTGTTGAACTACTCAATAATGTTGTTCCTCGGTTTATTAGACACTCAACCAAGCCAGCCTTTACAGAGAATGGATGAGATGAATTAAAGAAGTATAAATATTTATTAGCGGAATGCGTTGGCTTTTTATGAACGCTAGTATGCAGTTTACCTTCTTCTGTTCGTTTGATTTAACAGTCTAACATAGTTGATTCTCCTTGTTCATTTTCCGATTCAAATGTGAATTTTATTCCCTCTACTAATGAGTTTATATGTTTCAAGAAGCTAGAGATATGTTCTGTTTTTAACAGTGTGAAAGTGTCATCCACATATCTCCACCATATTTTTGGAGTAGGATTAAATTTATTAAGTGCAATATTTTCTCAGCTATCTGCTACAATAGGGGATATTGGTGATCCCATTGCTACACCATCTGTTTGTTAACATATTTTGCCTTGGAATTTAAAAATAGTAGATGTGAGGCATAGCTGAATTCCTAAAATAATTTCCTCAATGGGCAGCTTCGGAGCAGTAGCCCTAATAAGTAGAAAAAAAGACCTAAATGATGAAATGAAACATATAGAAGAAGCGTTGGTATCAAAAAACTATCCTTTAAAATTCATTAGGAAGATCAGAAAAGGTAAAAAGCAAAATAATTGTGAAACTAGTAATGATAACATAAATAAGAGAGAATATAAGGCATCTACGTTTTTAAAATATAAGGAAGAAACATCTGGGATCCTGCGTAGGATTCTCAATAGAGCAGTAATTAGGGTGGCATTTAAACCTACAAACTCACTCAAGGACAAGCTCTTTAGGTTAAAAGACCCAGTTGACCCAATTAGACAAAATAATAGAACTCACAAAAAATACCCTGCAATGACTGTGAGGTCAACTACATAGGTCAAACTAGTAGGTCGGGTGTAGTCAGATTGTCGGAACATAAGAATTTAGCGAAAGTTAGAATGATTGATCCCATGAAGATAAGTTATTTAGAAAAAAGCTCAACAATAGCATCCCATGCATTAACACACAACCACACAATAGGTTGGTGGGAGGGGATGAAAATTCTAAGAAGTAATATAGGTAGGTGGAGATGAGAGAGGTTGATTACTGAATCCTGGTTCATTGAGTCTACACCCAACACGTGCAATAGGGAATGACTTATCTCTCATACCGATCAAGTCAAGCGATGGAAAATAATGGAATTATATAAACGAAGTTAGAAGGTTGTGTTAGTAACTTGATCTGATCATGAGCAATAACTTGTGCTTGAAATGTGATCATCAGTAAATATTACTGTGTAACAATGTGAGATTTCATCAAAATAAATTTCACTCACAATGGAATTACACTCTACGACAGTGCACAAGTTTTATTGTTGTAAGTTTTATATGAATCATATAGGATAGTTGGAGGCAATCGTCAGGAAGCACATGACATAGGTTGTGTGCTTGTTGGTGATCAGTCATTTGAAATTGTGGTGCTGAGACTGCAACTCCGGGTGATGCAGGTTAAAGTCTCAGAGGGAATGTGAGTTCCTTGAACGTTGCAGGTGGTCCACCTTGCTGACTAATGCCAACAAGCATGAAATCCAAGTCAGACAGGTCTTCCTGTCGATTGCCTGCTACTGTCTAGCAAAGTGAACTTTCGAAGAGTAGAGTTTTGCATCAAATCGAAGCTTATGAAGTGTTAAAGCTCCACTGTTCTCGACTCTGTCGTCTGTCTAAACACTCGTGCTTAGTGATTCAATGTCTGTCTGTCTGTCTGTTTTCGACATAGAACTTTGCACATATGTGCGGCAGTTCAAGTCGCCACAATCCATGTAGCACGCAAAGCAAGAGAAGGAAGTAGAAGAAATGCAAAATATAGACAGTAAACAGAGGTGTGAGACAAAGGAATAGTAATAACGGAGAACAAAACAGTTTAACTGGAAATGATAAGTCACAAGGAGTGGATGCATCTGCGCCACTGAGAACGATTTTGAGCCATGTCGCCAATTGTTTCCAACCATTGGTTTTTACCATCCCGAGGGCCCCAACCAGGAAGTCTACATCTTCCTACGTGGCTTAGATTAACTGTTGTGGATTTCATTGATTGGTGCCATGTTTTGGTTTGACCGCCGCTAGCTCTTTTCCAGCCTGACCCTATATCAGCTAACATTGCCCGTCGAGGAAGGCGAGGACTAGGCATACGTAGCACATGTCCTAACCATCTCAGTCGATGCAATTTCACAGTCTCGTCGATTGATTTCCCCGCCTTACCTAGCACTCGACGCCTAACCTCAATATTGCTCACCTTATTATTCCACTTCACGCGGGAGATAGAACGCAGACACCTATGATCGAAGACAGCTAATCTTTTCATGTCTTCTGCTCTCAATGGCCAGGTCTTACAGCCATAAAGGAGGACGGAGCGGACTGTTGAGCAGTACACACGCCCTTTGGTCGATAGTCGGATATCACGTCTACGCCAGAGACGGCGAAAACTGGCGTATGCGAACCTAGCCCTCTGTATTCGTGCTGAGATTTCGTCAGAGATCAACCCGTTGGGGCTGGTGGTACTTCCCAAGTAAGTGAAGCGGTCAACGTGTTCTACCACTTCACTTCCTTTTTCTAATCTAGGGGTCGATGAAGTCCAATCCTGCAGCATCATCTTACATTTTATAGGGGCGAATCGCATGCCAAACATGTGGAGGTTGTTGCTCAGGGTGTTCAGTAGACTCTGCATTTTGTCAGAGTCCTCGCCTAGAAGGACTATATCGTCCGCATATTCTAAGTCAACGAGATTCTTCCCTGGTAGCAAGTCAATCCCTGAGTCGCTGAAGTGAGTTAGGGTTAAGTCCATTAGTACATCTATGATGAAGTTGAATAGCAATGGGGATAATGGGCATCCTTGATGGACGCCACTAGTCGTCACCACTTCAGATGACAACTCGCCATAAGCCCTCACCTGGCTGCATGAGTACGAGTAGAGTGCCTTAATCAGTGCAATGTATTTTCTTGGCATTCCCTTTACAGCCAAGCATCGCCAGAGAACCTCCCGGTCGACGGAATCGAATGCCGCCTTTAGGTCAAGAAATATAATGATTGTCGGACGCCGGTAGGAATGCCTATGTTCTAGAATCTGTCGAAGGGTGAAGATGTGATCAATACACCCTCTACCTGGCCTAAAACCTGCCTGGTTTTCTCGTGTTTGTGTCTCCCGAGCACCACTTAATCTACGCAGTATTATTGAGCCTAGGATTTTAGATACTATATTAGTCAAGCTAATCCCTCTGTGATTATCACAAGACGACTTGTCCCCCTTCTTGTATATCGGGATGATCAGTGACTTACACCAACCCGATGGGACTTCCTCTGATTCCCAGACGCTGCCTAGAACCTCCGTTAACGCAGACAGTAAACTGTCGCCTCCGTACTTAAATACCTCTGGAGTCAATAAATCAGGTCCCGCTGCTTTGCCTAGCTTCAGATTGGTGACAGCTTTAGTAACCTCGGTTAAGGACGGAGGACCTGTGTCTATCTCCCATTCAGGGAGGTGTTGGATGTCCGGTAGGTTAAGTGTGGCTGTGGGCCAATTAAACTGCTCCTCATAGTGTTCTTTCCAGCGCTCCAGACGTCTATCCTGGGAGCTAATTATGGTGCCATTTTTCTCGGAAATTGTTTCGCTTATCATTTGTTTTTTACCACCTGTTTCCCTGATAAGCCTGAATAGTTGTCTGGTGTTGCCTATCGCCGATGCTTTTTCCATCTCTTTCGCCTTTGTCAACCACCATTGTTCACGGTCCTTGCGCAGACTTTTCGTAAGTTTCCTCTTGTGCAGCTTTCGCTCCTCATTGAATTCGGAGCTCGCCGGAATAAGTCTTCTAGCATCTATCAGTTCGGATGAGGCAGTCGAAATCCAATGGTTTTTACTCACCTTTGTATTTACCTTATTCACAGCTTTTACAGCTGTATCTATGGCTGACTGAATATTCTTCCAGGCTTCTTCAGGGTGAGCGCAGCTGTCAAACTCAGATATGTGTTTAGCTAGTTCTTCCTCAAATAGGGACTTAGTTCCCTGGTCGAGCTGGGGACGTGGTGGGTTTACCGCCAGCTGTTTCCTACGTCCGTTCAGTCGTAAGCACACACGAGCGCGGACCATTGCGTGATCGGTATCTACACACGTGTTCCAGAAGGAGCGACAATCTCCTACCGACCCACGCCAACGATAGCTTATTGCTATGTGGTCTATTTGTGTCCAGCGTTGATTTGATGATGGTGGTCGCCAGGTCAAACAGTGTCTCTTCTTGTGTTTGAAGTTAGTGCTTACAAGATACAAATGATTATCTGAACAGAACTGTAGGAGACGGTCACCGTTGTCGGTTCGCTGGCACGGAATTCCGTATGTGCCACCGACATTCTTCTCAGATTGACACAATTTCCCCACTTGATCATTAAAGTCACCAGCTAAAACGACTATATCTGAGCGTCTAGCCTTTCGCAGCAAACTGGACAGCTTTTGGTAGAACTCATCCTTCGTTTCATCCGAACTGCAGTCAGTGGGGGCGTAGGCGGAGATTACGAAAAGGCATCGGCGAGTAGTGCAGTCCTTTCTCCTTTTCACTGATCCGTTCAGGCGGACAGCGCACATTCGGCTATCTACCGGGATCCAGTCAAGTAATGTCTTTTCTGCCCTAGTACTCACAGCTATTCCAACACCAGCTAATCCTCGTGAGCTAGCCGTCGCATCTCCTGACACCCTCAAGGTGAATTTTGCAGATTCATCCTGTTGGCCAGGTGGGGTTAGGTGAATAACCACACTTGGGTCTTGTATGCGTGTTTCTGAAACACAACATACATCAATGGCTCGGGATGTCAGAGTCTTGGCTAGTGATGCCTGTTGTCCTATTTGGCAAAGTGTCCTAACATTAAATGCTCCTATATAAAATTGGTGGCGTGGCTTTAGGAGACCATCAGTGGTGGCTTTTTGGCTTCCATCGTTATCAGTGCACACAGAGTGAAGGGGAAGTGAAGAGCCAACAAGTAGAGGAGTTGCATTAGTAGAAGGAAGGCAAGATAATAGAGATGAAGATGAAGACAAAGATGAGCGAGGATTAGAGGGGTTTCGCGTGCACTTCGGATTGTGAGGGCGATTGTTACTTCCCGGCTGCCCACACCGTGGAAGTTGGTTGCGTGACCGCAGAGCCCAGGGGACAACTGCTTGAGGCCGGTCACACACGGCCTGTTTTTGTTTGTTCTTTTTTATTTGGTGTGTCTCAGTAGCGTATTTATCACTTCTGCCCTGTGACACGGCAGCAGAAAGCGCGGTCGTTGTTAATCCGGGCCCCGACCGATCCGGCATGATATTTTGTGATTTATTTGAAATCATAGGATTGGATTGGGTAACTGCTTTTAGTCTAACTGCTATCCAAACAACCTTTCTGGCATGGTAGGACCTGCAGGAACATAAGTTCCAGCCAGTATAGCTTGTTGGGTCATTGCAGTGTTCAAGCCCGACCACCACGTCAAGGTAGCAGCTATCGGTCGGGAGTGATTCAATCCTTCTTGTCTGGCAGTGAATCCTGCCTGCTGACTGATATGATGTGTAGTCAAACGACGATGAAAATTTATGGTTGTAAAATTAGACTACTATAAGTAGGTAGTGTAATTCAATTGATTGTGAACATTTATTTTATTTGATATAGTAAAATTCATTTCGACGTTAGCGAAGGAACAGAAAAAGGCTTTTAATAAAACTGTCGTTAGATTTACAATCACTCTTTAATATCACTGTGAATTTTCGGCTACCTGCGTATGGTGTTCCTCTCGAAACACCGACTGGTGAGTGCCACTGACTTCAAGTCTGATGACGAACTGACTTCATTTAGAGAGTGAAGCATTGAAAACCAGAATGTTCTTGTTTGAAACTCTTCAGCAGTACACCTAAGACCGCCCGAGATCGAACCCAACACCTTTTGACCACAATATGACCTTCTATTGCCATTCAGTCATTTCGACGGAATCCATATGCGCATGAATTCCAACTTCTTGCTAATTCGGAATTTGTCATCAGTGTATCAATATCGGGTGTATTTTGACTAGAATTGTAAAGCAGCTTCCAGTAGGCTGAATTATTTACACACAAACACACACACACTTCTATAGCTGTAAGAGATTTTCAAGTATCTGCATATAAATTCGGGTGTCCATTTGAAATATGATGGCTTTCTTTAACTCGTTGTTGTTAGTTAGTAATTCATTTTTACAAGGTCTTCGTAGCCTCAGACAGGGAAGTCCTATTCACCACTCCCACGCAGAGGTGTTCCTCACAAAAGTGAACGAGTGAATTCGAACGGCTAGTGTTAACAACTACATGGTAGACATGCATGCCTATCTAGGAAAGTCAGAAAACCCTGATTCCAAAAATTTGGTGAACGTGGGCTTCAAAGTCTCAAATGATTGAATGGCATATGTAGTCCTGTTTAGGTGACTGAACAGCCCGTTGGAACGCTGCTCCACTGCGTTGTGGTTCAGAATTCACGTCAAAGACTTGGGGATTGACCTCTTAAGACAACAACCTGCTTCATTCTCAGCGTGCCATAACGCCTTATCTAAGCCCTTGTACAAATTTATGAAATTTTGTGTGGTGCATCATTTCGCGCCCTTAATCTACCAAAAGTTTATGTCTTAATTAATATGTATGTGTCTACCAGTAAGTAATGCTTATCAATGTGTATTCAGTTGATTTCTAAACATTCAAACTGTCTTTATTTTTCAATTTTTTATTTCCTAGGTTGTTTACAAAATGCAAAAAGCAGCCGAAGAAGTACCCGGTATATCTCGAGTTCTGTATGATCTCACATCGAAACCACCAGCCACTATTGAATGGGAATAATCGCTCTACATCCCTGTGTATGCGTGTGCGCGCGTATGCGAATGCCGTTGCTTTTCCTTCTGCTTTCTATATCACTTTGTTTTGCAGAAAGACAGAGAACGAGAAGTATCCTTTGACTTCTTTTCTTTTCTTCTCTGCTGTTTGACGATAGAGTTGTATCTTAGTGACAATGTGAATGGAGTCTGTGAGTACTACTACTACTGCTACTACTACCACTGCTAATACAACCACTAGTATACTATGCAATTACACATACATTCACTTCCTTATCACCGAGAATAACTGTCTATGTGTATTTTTCTTTTTGTCTTCTTCTTCTCCTTGGAAATCCTAATTTGTCTTCTGAAAAATATACAATATTTAATCTCTCTCTCTCTCTTATATGCAACTTGCTTTTTGTTACGCAAAAGTCAGTTTTTAATACTCATGTCTCTCTCTCTCTCTCCCTGTCCCTGCCCCCCTCTTTCAATCCATTTCTTCGAAAGAGGGATTTCTTGACTAGTGATGTAATGACTGACTAAATGAATAAATAATAAATGGACTAGGTTGATGACCCATATTAGGTTTCCTTTTGCTCACACACACATTATGCCTCTGGTGGTGGTGGTATTACTTGTGTATGTACATCAAGTTCACTACTAATCTTTTATTATATATAACTCATAGTAAACAGTAACATTGATTTGACGGAAATCATCAGTTCGTTTTGTTGGATTTTATGTCGAATTTGCTAATGAAAAAAAAATACTGTCTGGAGTGAGTAAATAAATTCTGTGTAAAGTTTGTGTATGAATGTTATCCTTCTTCTTCTTTTACTGATCTACATTAATCAATTTTATTGTTAGATGATCGGAGGCGATCGGCAGGAAGCCTTGGCTACACCTAGGTTTCGTGCTAGTTGGCATTCACCAGTTAGCAAGGCGTATCTGCAACCGTGAAGGAACTCATGCCTCTTATGAGATTCGAATCCGCGTCACCTAGTGCCGCCATCAGTCATAGATATTACCACTGAGCTGTTCGGGCTAGCAATTGACCTCCTGTAGGACTGTATTGAGTACTTTGATTGGACACTAGTAACTAGTATGATGTGTCCAGTCCTTTGTTTGGTACAGACTGAATTCTATCAGTCAGATTTGCAATGTGATCACCATTCTTGAGATATGAGTTCCTTCGCGGTCGCAGATACTACTACTTGCTGACTGGCGAGTGCCAACTAGCACGAAACCTCCTAGGTGTAACCAAGGCTTCCTGCCGATTGCCCACGACCATCTAACACAAACAATTCAAAGGGTACCGTGATGACCAGCTGCCTGGTGACATGGTGGCCACATTGCAAATCTGACTGATGGAATTCAGTCTGCACCAAACAGGGGACTAGACACATTACACTAGTTATTAGTGTCCAATGAAAGTATTGTTGTTTATGCCTGATGAAAGCTAACAAGTAAGTGAGCAGTTTCGTTACCAATCAACTAGTCGAATAAAGTCGAGGTTCCATTCTGGTTGGTGGTGGTGACCAGAATAGCAGTGGAATCTCGAATGTGCATTTTATCCTATTCAGGACTTGTGGAGTGAGTGGAAGATGCGCTTGTTTTTTCCCATTGTGAGAGGTGAGGGTGTTTCTCTTCCTTCCTCAATGAGCCAGCCTTTAATTCTGCACTAATTTTCTAAAACAGTCACCTATTGTGCAGTGGGTTAGTTCTGTACTTCCTGTTGATTGGTTTTGTTGGGCATAAATGTTCGGTGGTTGTTAACATGTTGGCTTGCCCCTAGTACGGAAATGGCAAAGTTTGTTTATAACGGCACCGAATGTATACTAGGAAAGGTGCTTGTCTTTTTACACGATGTAAGCAGCTGGACGGACAGATGGATGATCGAAATCGGCGAATTTCACCTTCATTGCAGTTGATTACATCTCATGTATGTAGTAGTCAAGTAGAGTCAGTTATTGTTTTGACTAACAGTTGGATTGTTCACCATTACTGACAAGCTGAAGGTAGGTAGTTTGTATCTGTAATGTAAGAGTAGAATTAGAGAAGTTGATTTTATGTGGCATTAATGATGACACAGTATTAGAAAATGGATGGTTGATTTACTGAGCAAGAGTTATTGCTCTACGAAAATTTCATAAGTAGACAGAGTATCATTATTATTTCCTTAGAGTTATATTGGAAATACAGGGCTTCAGCAACACATTTCACTCGGTTCTCTGCAGTCTTCTTTAGTTAGTTCTGTCAGTAGTACCCACAAGCCTTCATTTCTTCATCACACGAGCTCCTCTGCGTCATCCTCGTACTCACAGTCAGTTCGTTGTTTTACAAAGGAGGGTCTGACTCATAGTGTCACTCAACAATCTCAACCTCGATGGGCAATGTTAGCTGACATAGGGTCAGGCTAGAAAGGAGCCAGTGGTGATCAAACCAAAACATGGCTTCATCAGTCAATGAAATCCACAACAGTTAGTTTAAGCCAGGCACGTAGGAAGATGTGGACTTCCTGACTGGTTGGGGTTGTCGGGACGGTAAACACCAACGGCTGGAGACGATTGGTGATATGACACAATGGTTGGTGCAGATACATCCACTCCTTTTGACTTATAATTTCCAATGAAACTATGTTGTTCTTGGATATTACTATTCTTTTTGCGTCATATATCTGTTGGCTGTCTCTATTTTGCGTTTCTTTTTACTTTCTTGTCTTGCTTTGTGTGATGAGTGAAGTGTGGCGACTCGAACGGCTGCACATCGGTGCAAAGTTCTATGTTGAAACCAGATAGACAGACAGATAACGATCTCAGAGTGTGTCTAGTTCATCTTTTTCTGTGTATTTGTTGGGCGAATCTGACTGACTGGTTTCGATGTTGAAGTTTGCACAGATGTTCAGCAGTTCATGTTGCCACACTCTCTCTATGTAGCACACGGAGCGAGAGAAGAGTGGTAATGAGCGGAAATATGAGGCAAAAAGAATAGTAATATGGAAGAATAATATAATTTTATTGGGTACGATGAATCACAAAGAGTGATTGCATCTGCCTCAGCCAGTGAGAACGATTTTGAGCTATACCACCTCTAATTGTCTCTAGTCATCACTGGTTCGTACCATCCCGAGGACCCCAACCGGAAAGTCTACATCTCCTTTCGTGGCTGTCCTAAACTAACTGTTGTGAATTTCATTGACTGATGAGGCCAGTTTTTCTTTTGACCACCACCACTAGCTCTTTTCCAACTTGATCCTTCCTATGTCAGCTGACTAACATTGCCCATTATCGTGGAAGGCGATGGCTAGGCATGCATGCGTAACACATGTTCTGACCATCCCAATTGATGTAATTTCACAACCTCGTCGATTGATTTCCCCTCCTTACCTAACAGTCGACCGAAGCCTAACCTCAATATTGCTCACCTTAGTATACCATGTTGGGTGATACGTCCATAGTTAGACAGTAATGATTTCTTAGAAGCGAGAAGTATAACACAAAAGAATAGTTTTACTTCTCATGCTTAAGAAACTCTTCGTTGCAAATACATGGTATAGAAACATCGCATTTTATTAGAGCAGAACACGGTGGCACAGCAGTAGAATGCTCGACGACCACGCTTGTGGTTAGGGGTTCAGTCGCCAGCCGACTCACTCCTTTACCTAGGTAAGCCAGTAATAAGACTAGCGAAGAGGGAAGGTTGGGCATGAGGCTAGTAACGCCATCCTGTAAATATAATCACCACTGCTACCGAAACTTCAAGCCTCTAGTTTGAAGCCCTATATCCCATTGGGAACGTAAAGGAATAAAACATCGTAATTAACATAATTAGGAGTTTACAGTAAACGTTCAGAATACTGTCGAATTAAGGAAGACATGTATAGTGATAATACATTAATCATTCCATGCCTTCCGTGGTCATACCTCGTAACTTTGTTAAGTCTGAAGTTAATCCCAGAGATTTTTGAGTTTAGAACTGATTGGAGGCTGTCTATGAAAGCATTACACAAGGCGATTACTAAATATGTTCGTATTTAGCCAGTCATCAGAAGAAGAACCACTTGACTTATAAAAGAACATAACAGTTGACACTTCTGAAAACATCAAAAGTAGTAACATGTAGACGGAAAACATATAAATGAATTGCTGAAGTTATCTAGCATTCAGGATTTGTAACGACCATTGTTCAAACTATCGAATTAAATTGCACAAAACTTCCGTTGATATTCACAATGGCTATTAATTTCACAACAATGCGAGACATACATCCTCCATGAGTACAGCCAGTTATTAAATAATCGGGTAGTTTGAACTGTTTAGGCTGAATCAAATCGGATACACAGCTGATGAGCTCGGCCCCAAATGAGCGAAACGGCTGTCTGGTGTTTAGTTCACTTCGATTTGGCTGCCCGGCGAGCGCTGCTGGTTGGTGTTAGTGGTCTACAACTACTCACCCGAATCAATCATTAGTACATAGTTTTACGAAAATATGCTTGCTGTATTGATTGGCATTTATGGTATCAGTCAGATCTCATATTCTGATCTGAATAATCTTGGTTTCGAAATGAATGCGTGGTTAAATGATCATCTCGAACTATGTTAATTATGAAATCCAACTGTGTATGCTGCTTGTCAATTAAAGAGTAATAGTAAACGGAAATGTGCGTCGGTGGCACAGTGGTAGAATGCTCGCTAACCACGCATGTGGTCTGGGTTTCGATTCCCGGCCAACGCACTCCCTTACTTCGGCAAGCCAGTAATAAGACTGGTAAAGAGGGAAGGTCGGGTATGAGTCTAGTAACCTCCATCTCGTGAAAGTAAACAACACTGCTACCGAAACTTCAAGCCTCTAGCTTGAAGCCCTACGTTCCACTGGAAACGTAAAGGAATAAATAAACGGAAATATCATATATCTATTTCAGCTTGAATAACGGTAGTTGGCTTTTCAGGAATAAATTTTTTTTTCTACATATATTACTCGCGCTTATGATCTTTGTTACTGTAGTATAAGTATTGCTACAGCTTGGATTATTAGAAGAAACGACTTGTTGAATAAGGAAGAGTTGCTTATTTTGTGTAGCACGAATCATAAAACTGCATGGAAATTTGTAAAAATATTTAAGCTGGATATTTTTTCCACTTGCAAATGACGTTACTTCCTTCTTTCTTCAGCTGAAAAATCTTTATCTGTGTGAGATTTTGATATCGCAGCTAAAGTACATACATAATATGGGCATACTTGTTTAATTGAATATGTACTTTTCCGTTGATTCATTGGACCGAAGTGCTCAGCCTCTGTCGACATATTGGCCCTTTGTGCAGGTGCTTTGACGATGTCTGATTATTTAACTTGAAGTAAACTGATGGATCGTGACTAGCAATGAAATCCAGGACGTGCATCTCGTCCTGTTTATCGGGACTAATCATCTAAATGTAACTGCATTCCTCAGAGGGTGCTGGTGTCCCCTCTGAGGAACACCAACATAAGGCGTAGCATCCGGATTGGGTTAATCAACGGGAAAGTCCGAAATGAATTAAATAACTATTGATACCCGTCGCACAAAAGTTAACAGTTGTGGCTCAAGTGGTCTAGTAGATGGCGCTCTGGGTATTGGGTTTGAGCCCCAGTGACTAGTACACCATCACTCACTGGGCAATGCAGGTAGGTACATCCAGATGGCGAGTCCTAAATAGGATAAAATAAGCATCCTGAATTCCACCACTGCTAGTCACCATCCACCTGTTTATATGGGCATACATACAAATATTTCTTCTGAATGCCTATTACACACTTAACTACATTTCCCAAC